CGTCAGGAGTTTGTGTTGTTTGGCTGGCATCTCCCCAGGGAGGTTTTTATCTCTATTTCGGACCCCCGCCGCTGACGCAATGCACAGCAAATGTGATAAAAACGCAGCGCAGATGCAACCGTAGCAGGAATCTCTTCCCAGAGATGCTTTTTAACAGCCCCGGTGCATTACGACCAGGTTGTGCAGGGAGACAGCTGTGCTCGCCAGCCCTCACAAAGCAAAGCCTCGGAGACAGCAGCGCCAAGTTACAGCAAACACCGCTGACCCACTTCACTCTGATGAAATATTTATGAGTCCTTTTGCCAACCCGCTGTTTGCTACTCCCCGCATCCCTCCCCTCAGCCCCGGATTAAACATTTCTCTCTCAAATAAGCCCTTTCAATCTTGACGTGGAGAGCGTCAGAGAGCTGAAAGTGTTTTAACAGGCAGCAGCAGCTTCAAATCAAAGCAAAGCCTCTGCTCCACGGCTGCGTCAGTCCTGCGGCTGCACCAAGACCCAAAATCTGATGGCCTTGCTGGATCTGTGCCACACGGGCACGTCACCTTTCCCTGGGAGGACACCCGGGTGCTCAGCAGCTGCATTATACCCAGCACCAAGGCAGGGTATGGGAACAGGAGGGGCTTGCACAGCCCCACAAAGCTGTCCTTGTCCAACATCTGCAAAGGGACCGGGATGCAGAGCTAAGCAACCGAGCAACTGCAGAGAGATGGGGCAGAGCCCCAGCTTGCAGCCCGCACACCAGTGTCCTCTCAAAGGATGCCGACACAGCCTGGCCACGCTCCCCACGTGGGTGACACAGCATTTCGGATCCCCACACAGCCTCCAGACGCAGTGATGAGCCCTGACTCCTGCCAGCACCAGCCCGGGTGCTGATGGATGGTCCCCAGCCTCCACGGGAGACGACATCTGAGCTGAGCATCACTCCTGCAAGCCACACTTGCCCCGATCCCAAAGCTCCGCCAGAACAGACGTGGCAGACATTTTATTCTTGGAGATGGAGGTTTGCACTGAAAAGAGACACAGCATGCTACCTCCAAGGGCTTTATTTTTTTTTTATTATTATTATTATTAAAAAAGTATCCAAATCACAGCTCAATCACAATTTCACCCTGTTATCTTCTCTTACCCTGTGTGAAAATAATTCAAAAAGACCTAAAAAGAGGTATAAACCCTGCCCTTCAACCCATAGTGCCAAAAGGAAAGGGAGGCAGGCTGCTGTCCCACCCTGCTCTTCTCTGGGAGCACAGGGGGCTCACCGCATGCCTCCTGCCACACCAATTCCCACCCAGGGCACCTTGCAGCCACAAACCCAACCATTTCTCTGTGGCACCATGGGCTGGAGAGCACTTCGTTCAGTACAGCTTCCTGCCCATCACTCTGTTAAAAACGCACAAGCTGCTGCCAAAAAAAAAACCCTGACCAAAGCCACTCCCTCCCTCCTCAATCCCAGATCCCAAATGGGCACAGATTGTCCAAAACGCTCACTGCCTGGTGCCCTGCACTGATACACATACAAAACCAAGACAAAACCCTCTTCTCGTGGCCTGACTTGCAGCTGCCCCAGGACATGGTGGGAACAGGGAAAGCAGCACCAAAACAGCACCAAGAAATAAAAGATTTTGTCTTGGACTTTTCACTGCATTAGACCCATTGTGCACCCAACCTGTGCTTCTCCTGCAGGAGAAGTCACACATGGCAAAGCTGTCACCTGCCTGGTCACCTGCCACCAGCCCTCAGATGCAGCTGAAACAGCTGTGCTATCAACCACAGTTTACAGCAAAACCATTTCTAGAATAAGAATCTGAGAATACTTTGCTGTGACTAGGTTGGAAATAGGACTTGTGCTGCAGAGCCCGGCTTTACAGGGTCATGGCACAGTGCACAGACCCCCAGAGAGGGACCGAGATAACCAGAAGAGTTTCAGAGCATCTTGCCTGGCTGTGTTCTGCCCTAGCTTTAACCTGGGGCTTGCATCCCCCTTGGATGCAGAGTCAAACATTGCTTTTCATTTCATATCTCTGTTTCTTCTAATGGAAAAAGACCATAGCTCTTACCATTCAAAACCACAAGCTATTAGAACCCAAGCCTTAGCTTGCAAGGCTGAGCACCGCTCACCCCAAGACAGAAGTCTGGGGGGAACAAAGGAGGTGCTTTCCAGCCAGGATAGTTTCCTTCCACAGCATTATTTGGCAGGACACGGGTTGAAGCCCTGGGAGCAGTTTCAAGGGGGAGCAACTCAGGAGATGCAGCAGAAGATGCTAAGCCAGCGATGTAGACCTCAGCCATCACCCCGCCAGCCTGACGGGCACACTTCTGGGCTCATTCTGCTGAAACTCGTGCCCTTGATCTGTGAGACCAAAGCCTGCATCCCACACTGCTGTAGCACACCCATATCCTACCCTGGGCAGCTCCCCATGTCTCAGCTTTCTGCCATACTACGCTGGCTTTGCAATGCCATCTCAGGAATAACCTTGTGGTGGGGTCAGCAAATGTTTTCTGCTTCCTTGCCACCGCTGAGAGAACAGCGGACACCTTGCTGCCCCCACCACAAAGCCCAGTTTCTCACCTTGAACCTTCCAGCACTTGAGAAGCTGCCTTAGCCGAGAGGACAAGTGTTTCCAAACCAAGGTGCTGCCCCCCTCAAGGAGCCAGGAGTTAGCACCCGAATGCAAAAAGTCTGATTTCCTAACAAATCACCCAAGCTCATTCAACTCCTCCAAGCTTTGCAGTTCTGCCTTTCTGGATTTTATTTGGTTGGTTGTGTGTGTAGTGTGCAATGTGCCAATGGTGCATGCTACCTTCCCAGTGCTGCTGTTAAGGCCCCATCCTGACAGTCAGCAAGTACCATTTCTTACTCAAATGCAACAGAGAAGCAGAAAGAAAAAAAAAAAAAGAAAAGAAAAAAAAAAGGTGTGGGGGGGGCTGCCTCTGGCACAGTAAAATATCCCCAGGCACTGCAGTAAGCAGCAGCAAATTTGACAGCTCTCTTAATCTTATGGGCACCCTGACAAATCCTTCTGATGGATGCGGGACTGCACCAGGTTCTCCTGCCATCACCCCTTTGCATCTCAGCTGTGGCCAGTAAAGAGATCACAGACGTGCGAATGCAGATCTGCATGAGCAGAGCCAGGTCCGAATCTCACGGCCTGCAGATCTGCAGGCATCAGCCTAAAAGCTGTTGCTTTGCAGCTGAAACATAAGAAGCCACTGCAGGCGGATGGGGAATAATTCAGCAGAGACCTTCTGGAGAGGCTCCTGGCACCCTGCGGGGAAATGCCCCCCACCAAAACCCGAGCACTCTCCTCTCCCTCCCTGCCACCTGCAGAAGCTGGATAGGATCAGGGGAAGGACACCCCAAGTACATCCTGCATAGAAAGGCTTGCTCAGAGCTCTCCTACCCCTATCCCCCCCTCCCCAAGGATGGGGCCAGCACACCCAGGCAAGCCCACGGTCGTGGCTGTCTGCCAGCCGAGGGATGAATACATGCATTCAGAGGAATTCTGGATTTTTCTCCCACTGTTCTGCAGCAATACCATGGGTGAGGGGCTAGTTTTAGGTGCTGTGGCTAAGGGAAGATGGAAGCTGCTGAAGGTCACAGCTGTGAAGGTCAGGCTTTGGAGGTCAGTCCCGAGACGGAGCAGGGAGCTCCATCCAGCCCTGTCCATCCTCCCTCTCCCAACAGCATCCTGCCCAAGCCCCACCCAAGAAAACTGGGCTGCCACCAGGCTTCTTCCTATCACCCCACTGCTGAAGTTTTCCCAGGCTGACCTTGATTCCCAAATAAAAATCAGGTTCCTTCCCCCACCTGATGGTCACTGAGACCCCGCATAGGAGCAGGGAACAAAGCAACAGGTCAGTGCAAACACATGGGGCACAGATGCGCACAGGGGCAAGGACAGACCAACATTCCCAAGACACCCCCCCTTGCATTTCATGCCTGCTGTACACACTGTGAAGCCCAGGTGTCCTCCTCCCCCTGCTCATTTGGTGCGCTCTTCTCCCCAGAGCCTGAAATAGGCAGCCTTGCCACTCCGCTCTCCATTTTGTGCTTATTTTATTTATTTTGGGCAGGTTTTCCTTTGTAAAAGGCTTTCCAGCACAACGCAGGGGAATATATCAAAGGCTATCCATTTGTAACAGGAGATGTTTGTCCCCCCTGTTGTCCCCCCCCCAAAAAAAAAACCCACAGCCCAGAAAAGGAGGCAGCAGCAGCGCTCGCTTTGCATAGCCTCCTGCCTCAGGACTGCAAGAGATTAAACACGCTTTTAACGCATCGACACAGAGCGAAGGGCGAACGAATGACACCATGCGGGCGGACAGGAGAGGAAACCCAGCTGGAAGCCTGCTGAGAGCCTTCCAGGGAGGTTTGCAGTTTTCCTGCCGAGACCGAAGCGCCGCAGCGACCTCCTCCCGCCTGTACCATTTCCGGGACACGGCCGGCTCTGGTTTTCCATGCCCGGAGCCAGCTCTGCCTCCGGAACAGCACCAGGTCCCCAGCCTCCATCCCGGGGCTGCAGCCTCCCCGGAGGCTGGAAGCAAGGAGCCTGGTCGTGGTGAGGCCAGCCTGGCGCATCGCTTGGAGGCTGCGGCAGGTACGCGGAGGCCGGCGGGCTCTGCCTTTGCGGAAATGCCTCCTCCTCTGGCTGCCTGACCTTCAGGGAGCAGGAGGATGGTGCGAGGAAGGGGGCTGCTCGCAGCCCCTCGCTGCTTTGGGTTAAAAACATCGTTATTTGTTAACAGGGAGAAAAAAAAAACAGGCGGGCAGGCGCTCTCGCTCCCGGCGTGGCAGCCCCTGGCCTCCGTCGCATGCAGCTGCAGAGAGGCGGACACTCACCTTGAGCAGGTAGATCTGCGTGGCTGTGTCGCTGAGCCACCCCGCAGCACAGACACCGCACAGCTCTCGGCTGATAGCCAGGGACCCCGGCAGCTTTGCCCCCTCCCCAGTGCTGGTGGGCATAGGGGAAAAAGCAGCAGCAGCAGCAGCAGCAGCAGCCCTTACCTCCTGTCCTCCGGCCCTACGAGTCGCACCTCGCAGCTGGCTCTTGCGCAGAGAAGAGGGAGGGAGGCAGAGGGAAGGGGGGGTTGGAAAAAACTTGGGAGTTTCCCACAATGCAGCTCTGCAGACCGCAGGAAGATGGAGAGCAGGGGAGGGGGGAGGATGCTCCAATAGGGCAGGAAGGGCTGGGACTGTGGAGGGGGACAGGATGACAGGGAGGGTGAGGGGAATGAGGCATGCCAGCTCTGTCCCACACCCACATTTCTCAGGGCTGAGCAATTTGGGGCTGTCCCTGCAGCAATGAGCACCCTGCCTGCTCCACCAAACCCCGCCTGGGTTTGCAGCAAGTTGTAGCCACAAACAGGGGGAAATGTACTGGGCAGAACGGGAGGGGGGCAGCCTGGTAATCTGGGATGTTTCTGTGCATGGAGAGGGAGGGGGGGAGGATCTGGGGGCTTACAGCACCAGGATAACGGATTTCTGAGAATGATGATCCCACAAGGGGTGGCAAGCTATATTGCTAGAGATGCCGTGCACAGGGCAGGGGAGGAAGCTAAAACACTGCATAACGGGGTGGGTTTGTGCCAGCTCTTCTTCCCTTCTCCCTGAATCCTCCCAGGCTAAAAGCAAGTCGTCATCATCATCGTTGTCCCTCTCTGCTGCCCCAGCCCCCACCTCCTCCAGCCACAGTCCTCACATTCACATCTCTGGGGTCAAACCTTGCTTTTACCCATGGCCAGGTCCTGGGACTATCTACAGCTCTTTTGGCTTGATTTGTTTAGGAAATAAGGGTGCAGTATTTGTCCATCTTTCTCCATACAATTATGGAGGACCCACTGACCAGCTAAATGTGATTTTGCAGGGAGCCTGGGCATCTTAAGAGATTGTACTGCTGCAAGAGGGGCCAATATGCACAGGTTGGCTATGCTGGTGTGCATCTCAGCTATATCAAAATACCCAGACTGCTTAAATCCCACTTTAAAGAAAAAAACATCTGCCCACATTTGAAGCAAACATAAAACAAATAGCAGGTGAGTGTAAGAGGAAGCAGAGTGCCAGCACAGCAAGCAGTGCTTCAGCTCAAGATGCAGCAAGGTGAAAGCAGCTCCTTCAAGGTCAGATGGAAACTGGAACCGTAAAAACCATGCTGATGATTTTTCCTCCTCCCCTGGGCTCACAGCATGCAGGGACAGGAACATCCCTGGCTCTGGGGAGCCCCTGCTGCAAGCTCCACTGCTGTGCCTGGGAGCACAGGGGCTCAGCAGCAGCAGCATCCTCAGGAAGGAGCAGGATGAGCCCTGGGCTTCCTGAAGGATGCAATTGTTCCCAGACCTATTTGATGCCCAGTCAGCTGGAGGATGGCACAATAGGAAGCTCTGAGCAGGGCATCCAGGCTGGGTGGGTACAGCAAAAAGGAGCTTGTATGTACCCTTGTTTTTAGTGCTGTCTGCTGTATGGATTTTAATTCTGTATTATAGGTAGCTTATAAAATTATTTTAGGTTAGAAAAGAGCCTTGAGATCATCAAATTCAATCATCATAACATTGCCAAGTCTACATCTTTTCCTTGAACCTCTTAGGTGTATATTTAATCTTACTTTTAGTCTGTTTCTGGGAGGGGAGTTGCATCTATGCTACAGGAATTTTTTCTTGTCTGAACTCCAGGAAAGGCCTTAGCCCTATCTTGTAACCTCGCTTTTAATCCTCTACCTAATCCTACTTCCTGCTTGGACCTTAGGCCTGTGCTGTAGGTTTCATGTAGTAACTGTAGTACTTCATGGCATAACTGGCTAGCTGTGCAATAACCATATGGATAAGCATTTTACCTCTAGTGTGTATTACGATTACAGTAATTGACAAAACCTTTCAAAAATTCAATTAACTGGTTAGCAGGATGTATTAAAGGGTACAAAGCAGCATTTCTCTCAGTCTCTGTTCTTTAAAAAGCTTTTCCGGATGCCTCCCCCTAACCTTTTGAAAATGATGGATGGTTCCCCCTCCATACCCAGTTAGCCATGTGTTTGCTGTTACCATGAGCACGATTATAATCATTGTAATTGCACGTATGTATATGCTTAATCCACAATTCCGTCTTTAATTAAATACTTCTAGCACTTAGCTTTCTCTCTCTCTATTTCAAACTTTTTTTTTCTTGTTTGATTCCTTCCCCTACGCCATTCCCAAATTCTTCCTGCATCTGCCTTGTTTAAGGGACCATTATAGGATTTCGCATCTCTGTCGCTATTCTAGCTGCTTCACTGCAACTTCTTGTCCCTTGAGGCTGATCCTGTAAATGAATAAACCCACCGACATCATCATGTTATTATAATTTTAGAGCATTTTTCTGATGCTGTAACAGACTCTCCAGCCTGGGTGGATCCATCCATGCCATGATTCTCTGGGTTCCCTTGAGAGCTGTAACAGTTCTTATTCTCGGATCCTAAATTGTTATTATTGCATTAAGGAGTTAGACCAAGCTAAGTAAGACCACGTCAGGGCACAGGTTAGATATCTAATCATGAAAAATCCTATTGCAGGAATTACTGACTACCCTAGTTAAAATGAAATAAAACAAAGCTCCAGACAGGTAAAATCTGGCAGCTAAGGCATGTTTAGTTACCTCAACAGCTAGTGGCCTGGTTTGTGAGTCAGTGCTGTGTTCACCTTTCTCCATCTCTCATCACCTACCAAAGGCAAGTTATCTCCTTGAGTCCAGCAAGGATGCTGCAAGCCCTCCCGTGTCTCAAGACTGCAGCAGTTAAACTGAGCCAGCTGATCTGGCTTTTTAAAATATTTTAGTATTGTTTTTAGTCTTTCCATGTGCTTTACCATGCATTACATATATCTTCTTTCCATTATCTTTCTGAGCTTATCAGAAACCTCATTTTCATTTACTGCCACATGCTTTCTATCTCCCTTTCTCCAGCCACACCTCCCTATTTTATTCCATTATTAAAATATAAATTAAAAAAAAAAAATCACAGTCCAAGAAGAGATGCAAAGGGTTCTGCTTAGATGTTTCTTCTCTTAATAACGTCTGTACTCTTAGTGGGCGTGAGATTTTAATAGTTTCCATGCTACTTGGTCTCCTATTCTATTAATAGTAGCACAGAGGATTATTTTTTCCCTGCTCATATCTAGTGTTTTCATAGATGAAGTGTACCTTTGGTTTATTACCAGTACACCTGCACCCACAGCCAATGACTGCAGCTGGCTTTTTTTCTCAACAGCGTGATCTGCAGCTTGTTCAGACAGGGCAGGAGTGAGATCTGGTCATTGTAAGGTCTGTATGGTAACTCTTCTACCAATTAATATTAATTAATTAATACCAAATAATATTAATGCCTACTGCCTGGGCAACTGAAAGGACAACTACCTGAAAGGACATTGCAGTGAGGAGCATGTAGGTTTCTGTTCTCAGGTGACAAGTTATTGGACATGAGGAAGCAGCCTCAAGTTGTTCCAGGGGTGGTTTAGATTGGATGCCAGGATGAATTTCTTCACAGAAGGGGTTGGTAGGCATTGAAACATACTGCCCAGGGAGGTGGTGGCCTGCCCCTGGAGGTAATCAACACATGGTTTAGTGATGGACTTGGTAGTGTTAGGTGATGGTTAGGCTTGATCTTAAGGGTCTTTTCCAGCCCAAGTGATTCTATAATTAATTTTTCACCTCTCTAGAACCAACTGATGGGGATGTTCCTATTGAAATTTCTGGTACTGGCTGTTTTGGTGCAGGGGCTTTTAGAGCAGCATTTTCCCACTACTTTGGTGCATCATCATGTCCCTTGCTCCACCTCCACTCCAGAGGCTTAACCAGTAACTTCCATGATGGTCTGTGTCCTGGTTTCAGCTGGAACAGAGTTAGTTTTCTTCCTCACAGCTGCTACGGTTATGTGTTTCAGATTAAGAATGAGAATAATGCTGTAACACACTGATGTTTTAGTTCTTTCTGAGCAGTGCTCATGCAGAACCAAGGACTTTCCAGCTTCTGGGGCTGCTCTGCCAGTGAGGAGGCTGGGGGTGCACCAGGAGCAGGCAGGGGGCAGATCCAGGACAGCTGACCCACACTGGCCAGAGGGACATTCCATGCCATACAGCATCATGCTGAACAATAAAACTGGTGGGGTTGGCCGGGGTGGGTGACGACACTGCTCGGGGCTGGGCTGGGCATCTGTCAGCAGGTGGTGAGCAATTGCACTGTGCATCACTTGCTTTATGTACTCTTTTATCATTATTATTATCATTATTTCCCCTCCCTTTTCTGTCCTATTAAGCTGCCTTTATCTCAACCCATGGGTTTTCACCTTTTCTTTCTGATTCTCTCCCCCATCCCACTGTGGGGGTGGGGGGACATGAGTGAACAGCTGTGTAGTGCTCAGCTGCCTGCTGGGTTAAACCACAACAGCCTGCTGATACCAGCAGAGTTATGGGCACATTGCCGTTATAAATTAAATCCCCCTAACGGCGTTCTGAGTCGGGTTTTATCAGAAAAAGCTTTGATTTCATGCAAACCTTAACCATTCTTGCACCTCTTTCTTCCTGTCTCACCAATGGCAATTCCTAGCCAGGGCTTGCGCTAATTGTGCCTCTTCCAAATGGACTTCAAATCCTGTTTCATCTTTTAATTTTAAAAGCTGGATAACTCTTGCTTCTTCTACAGCTCTGGTTGCTGGAGTAGAATCCACATAAGATGGTAATTTTCCTTTATTCTTTGGAGACAATAGCTTGAACAGGTTTCTCAAGAAAGCCTGGGTCCTGCAAGTATGTTGGGAAGCCCCTGTGGTGCCACCGCAGGGTTTTAATCCCTTCTGTCCAAATGCAAGAACAACACTGAAAAAAATATTCTTCAATAAGTGGGATGGTGGCAAAATGGTTGGATTTATAATTGAAAACCACCTGTTGTCCTCTGGTAACTTAGCAATAACCACTGGCACACTTGCTAAAAGAGGAGCCGTTCTCATGGTGAACGTGTTTATTTGGCAGTACTCCACCGCTGTTTGCCAGGATTTTCTGTCAGCCTTGCTAATGGATCACAGTGAAAAATCAGGTTTATAATTTCTATAAAAAACAACAACATTGTTTTCAAAATTTCTTGAAAATTTCACTCAGAGCAGTCTCATCTTCTTTAGGACCACACGTATTTGTCCAGAGGACTGGCAGGTGCCATTACTTCAGCTTTGGTACCAGATTTTCC